AGGAGGCAAGAACTACAGTATAAGTCTGAACGGGAGCTTCATAGCCCGATACAGTCGGAGCCACATACATGTTTTCTACATGCACACACGTCTGCAGCTAGACACATGCAGACATCATTCAGCTACATCTCACATGCGGTAACTAGGCATTACATTCGGTAGGCACACATATACATATTGGCATAAGGCAGAGACGATTGACAACAGCAGACACACCCGCCACCAAGTCACCAAATGGTGATATACTCATGCATGCAGCCTCGCGCTACTTCCATGCATCGTGAGCGTTCAAGTCACTCAGGTGTTCGGAATTGAAGACGGTCAAAAAAATTACAATGCCAAGATCATTGCAACCATCGTGCATCCTCATACTCGTCGTCAACATGACCATCAAAACAGACCTTCCCTGTGCAACCGTTGTCGTCAACACATGCCGCATCACCATGACCACCATGATGCTCACAGTTGCCATCTTCATGACTCATCAACTGCCTTTCGCATCAACTGCCTTTCAAAGTTGGGGAGGCACCATCAAGCGTATTTCGAGCAGTGTGTTGGCTCTGCATCAGTATCGAGGAACTTCCTCTGGCAACTTGCGAACCCACCCCACTCAAACTATTAGTTCCATGCTGGAGCCTCGCAAAGCAACATGAAGTACATGCACATGCTATTTATATGCATGAGTGCCCGTCTTCTTCTCGGCATACAAGGCGGAGGACGACCTTGAGATTACTTGGTGTCTTGCTAAGTTTACAGATCAAGATGACTGCACACACATCGTACGTGCAAACATGAGCATCGCCACCAGGAAGGGCAATTCTATCATTTTGTACAGACATACATGTTTTCACGACGGGAACAGGCTGTCTATGCCTATGTAAGTGCGCGAGTCTTGCTTGGGATGTTGGAATCTAGGAAGCAAACAGGACCGTCGAAAGCTGGACCCCTCCAGGCCCCCGACTGCATGACCAACATCCTTAGCAGCCTTTCAACATCGAAGGCTTCGGCGGTTCTCATGGGCGATCAGCCCTAGAAACCACCCAAACCCTGCATCCGAGCAGCCGTCTGACAGCGGGAGCCCATGGCCCTCGGCTCGGATACGTGTTGCGACTTCGAGCAAAGCGACTCCTCAAGTCGTTCAGACCTTCTGCGGCACTGGGTTGCCTAGCACATGCAACCTGCAAGGCTGAGCCAAGGGTCAAGCACCTTCCGTCCAGCCATGTGCATTGCATTGTGCGCTCCTCGGCTGAAATCTGGCTTTCGGCACTCGCTGCAAATACTGAAGGAAATCCTCACCCACGAGCCGTGCAACCTTGAACTCTCTGTGCCGACGATATTCGTAACCCAAGACTTAGTCTTGTCGAGGAGTCTATGGCTCGGGACACATGTTGTTGGTGCGAAGGGGTCTGCACAGAATCGCACAACCATTTCTCGGCTCATTCTAGTCCCAACATAGTCTCTCCCAAAATCTCCCAAGCACATCCCCCCCGGAACGTCGAGTCATGTAAGTCATGTAAATCGGAATACGTAAAGCGACATCTGCCATTCTCTGGCTGTCCACCACGCAGGTAGAGTTTGCAAGGTTCTCCTGTGCAACTTACACCTGCCAACTACAGTATCAAGTGGAAGCAGAACTCCACATCTGCCGACCGAGCCGCTCCCACCGTCACGAAGTGGCTGTTGCAGTCTGGCTCCTTCGCATGAAGCAATTGCCACGACGTCCAGAAATTGCAAGCTTTGAAACAAAAGCTTCGAGGGAGCTGCAACTAGTAAACGTCAGCGCCCGGAGCTTTTGAGGTCTCTGTGGGCCATGGTGGCCGTGGTCTTTGCAGGCACTATCCTTGCTCGCTTGTTTTGTTGTTGGTGTTGTCGCGGTTGTCATGGTCGTGGTTGTTGCGGTTGTTGTTGTGGCTGTGGTGGTTGTGGCTGGCGGCTGTTGTGGTTGCTTTGGTGATTGTTGTTGTTGGCTCGATCTCCATATAAACGAAAAACCGACATGCCGAATCCATCGATATTTACGGTGCTTCCTTTGCTTCATGTGCCGAATATATCGATGCCGTGGGTTCCCTGCGCCTCCAAATTCACGAATTCGGCACCTGCCGAAACCCTCGGTACTTACGGTGTTTCCTTTGCAGTACCGAAATCATCAGTATTTGTGGTGTTTCCATGATTTTCCATGTGCTTCCGCTACTACCATGGCCCAATCATGCTGACGACCGTGGTCGAATCCGTTCTGAGAAGAGAGCATCCATGGCTCAACCATGATGACGTCCATGGTTTGAGAAGAGAGACTCTTCACTTCGTGTATGCTTACCAGGCTTAGCAGGCGGACTTGTCCGGAAAAAGCCAGAAACGCCAGCACCGAAGGAGGGCCTGCAAATGTGAGCACGAGCTTCCCTCCACGATAGCGCCCTGGCCACAGCAGGAGCGGCTGCAAATTCAAATGATCTTTCACTTTGGGGCTTGCGCTTCACCAGGCGGGCAGAGTCAGGTCCAGGTTCGAAGCTTAAATACAGGGAGTCCGTTTTACTGCGCCTGGGTTTCAATGCCTTTCGTGCTAACAGCGGCTCAGCAGAGGATTGGTTAGGCCGACAGTCGGAGACCGTCGTACCTTGTGTCGTAGGAGCTGCCAATTGCTAACTCATGTTGACGGATTATAATACCGATGCTGCCGATACCTACACCAACAGAAGGCATTGTACGTGCATGCGAGGATGCATGCACAGTCGAGGCTTTGCAGCAGGTGCGGCCCAAGAATGGTAGCTTGACAGTGCACATCCGGCCTGGCACTCGCGCAGGACCTCCGCGGGCCTTTCCTGCTTCTTGATGTCCGAGCCGACGGGCGGGGAGTTGACGCTGAAGGACCATTCGCCTTCCTGGCCCTGCTGGTGACCAGCGTCTGCCACCTTCGCCACCTTGGATTTGCTCCTGACCTCTTGGACGTCCGAAGACGAGAAGTCTTTCAAGGCGGCAATAGCCCGTGCCCGGCTCTCCGTGGAGACCAGCGCGTCCGGCACCGCTGCCAAGATCAAAGCGAACTGGTCTGCGAGGTTCACCAAAGGGATGGTCATCTTAGGGCTCTGGTATGCTGGGCCGAAGCCCATCTGCAAGCCAAGCTGAAGCCAGTTGCCAGACAAGAGCCCGCTGATCTCGAAGTTCACCAAGCCTGGATTCTTGAAGCCGAAGAGCTTGAAGGTGTCGGCTTTCGACTTGTCCTCGGACGTGGACTGAAGGGAGTTGATGCGCTCTCTGGCAGAGGATCCTCGGACTTCGGACGTCTTGTTGATGCCCATGTCCTCTCCGTATTCGACCGAGGCCAAGTAGAGATCCTCCTCGTCCGTCTCCCAGTGCAGAGACTCCTGCAAGCGAGCCTTCGCCTGCGCCCGGGTCTGGTTGCTCTCCAGCAGCGCCGATCTCTTCATGGACGCCATGCCGGTTCCACTCTCGCCATCTGTTGCGGATGCACCGAAGAAGCTTCGCGCTGTCTGGTGGCCTCCGTGGACGTTCTCCATCACGAAGTGTGTGTCGTCGCCAAACCTCTTGGACAGGCGAAGCGTCCGGCTGAAGAGCATCACGCCGTTCGACTTGATCACGGACCGCAACACGCTCAGGTCCAGCCCACCCGGCTGGTGCCGGGGCCAGCAGACCTCGTGAATGCGACAGGCAAGCAACTCTTAGTTGCCTTCCATTTTTGCCGGGTTCTGTTTCCGACTGTGGCGGCGATGTGCCACCGAGCTTACGACTTCGGGGC